ACCTAATTCTGTTGTGACTGGTGATGGTTACTGCTATCTGGGGACTTCCTGAGGCCAGAGGAGTCTGGCAGGACAGTAGGAATAAAATGGTCTTCTGCTTTGAACTTCAGTCTGGGGAGTTTAGATTTCCTTATCTAGAGCCAATATTCATTCATTCAGAATTTATAAGTATGCAGGCATGTGTTTAGAGAAAATAGAGCATGAGCTTGGGAGGCAAAGAGATCTAGATAAATCCTGGCTCTCCACTTTCCTGAGTGTCTGTAGACCCTCTTTGAGTCTCATTTCTTCTTTTGTGGGAAAAAAAAATGCAGCTAATACTTAATTGTAGACTTCTTGTTATATATAAAGAGCCTTATGGTAGTATCTGATAGGTAGTAGACATTCTAAAAGTGATAGCCTATTTTTTAATTGAAGTATAATTCGCATAACATAAAATTCACCAGTTTAACCATTTAAAAGTATGTACCATTCACAGTGTTCTGCAGCCATCTTCACTAATTCCAGAACATCTTCATCACCCAAAAAGAAATCCCTGTTACCCATTAAGTGGTCACTTGTCATTGCCCATTCCCCCTACACCCCAGCAAACATTAGTCTACTTTCTGTCTCTGTATTTACCTATTCTGGACATTTCATATAAATCGAATTATATATTATGTGGCCTTTGTGCCTGGCTTCTTTCACTTAGCATAATGTTCTCAAGATTCATTCATGTTGTAGCATATATCAGTACTTCATTTCTTTTTATGGCTGAATAATATTCCATTGCATGTATATACTACATTTTGCTTATCCATTCATCAGTCAATGGACAGTTGGGTTGTTTCTACCTTTTGACTATTATGAATAATGTTGCGATGAACATTCATGCACAAGTTTTAGTGGACATGTTTTCATTTTTCTTGTATATACACTTAGGAGTGGAATTGCTGGATCATATGGTTATCCTGTTTAACCTTTTGAGAAACTGCCAAACTACTTTCCACGGTAGCTGCCCCAGTTCACATTCCCAGCGAGTATTTCTCCACATCCAGTTTCTCCACATCCTCCCAATGCTTGTTATTTTTCTTCTCTTGTTTTCTTTCTTTTCTTTCTTTTTTTTTTTTTTGGATTATAGCCACCCTAGTGAGTATGAAGTATATCTGATTGTATTATTTTTGATTTGCATTTCCCTAATGGCTGGTGATTTTGAGCATCTTTTCATATGCTTACTGGTGTAGCCTCTTTTATTCTTTTGTTAAACTTTTTTTTTTTTGGATGAGTCTCTATATTGTATAGTCAGGCCTATGATATGGGCCCTGCCCTGAGGTTACTCACACTCCAGTGGGAAAGGTAGACATCAAAGCAGATGATGGCAATGTAGTGGGAGAACAGGCTAGGTATCTACAGAAGGTATCCACAAGGTGTGTTGGGACCTCTGAGGAGGAGAGAGGAGATGAGTGGAGACTAAGTGGAGTTTATTAAGCAGACGGGAAAGGAGGTAGCATTCCAATGAGATGGAGGCGCATGGAGCTTTGCGTATACCTGGTGGGAGTGGGGCTCCTGTCATCAAATGGGGAGTAGAGATCTCCCGACTGTCCTTCCCAGGCCAGGTGGCTTAGCAGGTCTCCACTTCTAAGAGCAAGCCTGCAGCAGCCCTGGCTCGGCAGCTGGCTCTGTTGAGCTTTTCATCCGCTGTATGTACAGGGCCCTGTTGTCTTCAAGGCACATTTACTCAGCTGATTGGATCCTCACTTGAGGTAGATACTCCATCTCCATTTCTACAGAAAGAGAACAATGATGCTTACTTGGCAGAGCCGCTTGCCTGACTTCTCATGCCTGCCGAGTAGCAGAACTGGACTTGGAATCCAGCTTGTCTGACTCCTAGCTTTTTTCACACCTGCAGGCTGAATGTCAGTTCTCCTTACCTTGGCATTCAAGGCCATTTATACTTTAAGCCCCAGCCACCTTAACTTCCTTCCTCTCCCCCTTTTCCTGCCTAAACTGAACCATCTTTTATAGCCATTCCAATCTGATATTTTCCCAACCTTCCTTTTTTTGTTTTTATTCTTTACCCCTCTTCTCACCATCCATAAATGGCTATCCTTTTATGAGGACTGAATGTCCAGGTGCCACGCACTCCACTCAGGTTCCTAACACCCAGAATTGATCATCTTCACTGCATCCAGGAAATGTGAGTAGGAATTATTTACTTCAAGTCACAGATGAGGAAACAGAATCAGAAGTAAAGTAAGCTACCCAAGATCACCCAGGAAATAAGGAGCCTAGCTTGAATGCCACCTCCTCTCAAAAGCCTGCCGTGGTTGTACTGATCAAAGTGATGTCTCTTGTCCCTGAGATCCTGTAGCAGTTACTTTCCTCTTATTCAAACTCAGTATTTGATATCTTATCTCAATCTTATTTGAGGGCTTTTCTTTTTCATAGGTTTTCATCTTGGGTCTTCCAACCAGGTATTCATTCTCAGTGACCCAGGGCCCTGACCATATCCTGTAGGTGTAAATTCTCAGTAAATGTTAAGCTGAAGTGTAGGAGGAAAAGCTCTGGACTCTAGCTACACAGTCTGGGTTCTCCTGCTATTCATGTTACGGCATTAACGTCTGTGACCTTGCACAGTGATGAGCTGTCCAGAATGGGCACCTGCTTGTCCTGCTCCTCCTGTATCCCTAGGCCAGATTGTCAAGTGGATGGATGCGTGAATTTACTATTTGGAACTTCATCTCTGTTTTGAAAGGGTTAAATGAGGTGATCTAAGGATCATTCTCAGATCAAATATTGCCTAGTTCTGTGAGTCTGAATGATCATTTCTCTCCACACCAACCTGATTCTGAGCTACATACAGAGTTTCAGCTCGGGGAGGCAAATCATAGCTTGTCCTTTCTAGTTTGGTGGCTGCATCTCAGATTTTTGCCTTTGAACTTGTCAAACTGAAGACTAGCCCAGGAGCTTTGCCTCTACACATTCAGAAGTCCTGACACCACCCTTTCATGCCCTGTATCTCTTTCAGTTCCTCTCTTTTTTCACATGTGAAAAAATCCACCCACCCCATTTCAGGATAACTTCATTTGGAGGACTTTTTTAGGTTTTACCTTGTAGCAGCTTTTTGACTAAGAAAGAGTCAACAATGATTGGTAGGAGAGGAGCTATTGCTCTTTCAGAAAGACCACAGTCCCTGCTGTTGTCCAGGCCTAACCCATTGGGTGTCTTTTATTGGCATGAAGAGAACAAGAACCAGCCTTTCTTATGAAACTAGACCCCAAGGCTTGTTCCTCTATTAGCGGGAAACACCATTTTCATCTCTGATCAGGAGGGGCTGTTAACAAAGACCACATCTTCTTGTCCTTGGCAGTTCCCTGTACTCTCTGCCCTTCTTAAGTCACTCCTTTATTTTTTAACTTGCATCTTTATTCACCTTAGGCTTAGTGAAATAAAATGATTCTGAGCGTGTTGATCATAGCAGTTTTAACGTCCTGTTCGTTGAGCGCCTAGTGTGAACCAGCGCTGCGTGGTGAGCGTGTGAAGCACTGCTGGAGTCCCCACGCTCCCTTGTAGAGGAGACACCTGAGGTCATGCTGCCAAGGCCTTGTTCCTCCCTCCTCAGCCTGTCACAGGAGAGCTGAGATTCACGCTGAGGGCTCTCTGGTACTGGGTCCGTCCCCCCCCCCGATCAGCTGGGGCTCCATTCCTAGAACCGTTTAGGATGACTTGACATTTGACTACATTCTGGAATAGTTAGGCACTTATAAGCTTTCTTCTCAGCTTTGGTAACAAGTTGTGAGGAGAGAAGCCTGGCTCGAAGGAAGTGTAAAAGCATGTTTGCACACACACACTCACACATAAAGACCCTAAGAGATTGGACTTAACCATTACCTGGCCACATGCCACATCCAGCATTGGGCAACATGCTAGAAACTGCATTTAGGATACAGCGGTGAGAACCTTTGAGGAGTATAAGAAACAGTCATTCCCAGAGTCTCTGTTCAAGCCCAGAAAACAAGACCCCAAAGTATTTGCTGCAAGAGACCAGTGCCAGAGGAGGTTCAAGCTTCTACCTCTGGAACCTCTCTCCTCATTTAATTTTTACTTTTGACATCTACAGTGAGAGACAAGTCTGGAAAATAAACTTTGAAATTTGTGCAGGAGGAAAAAAGAATTCTCTTTTAGATTATCTGAAGTTGAGCTTAAAGATTGAGAAAGTGAGGAGAAATAATATCCCTTTGTATTTGTGTAGCACTTTTGTAGTTTGTAGTGCACATAAGCACTGGGGAGGTGCCAGAGGCCTGTTTCCCACTCCTGGCTCTTCCCCGGCTCACGTCCTGGGCAAGCCCTTCTGTCCTCTGGCTTTGAGTTCCCTTACCTGTAAATTGAGAGAGTTGGACCACTTGGTCACTGAGGCCCCGCGAACTCTGTAATTTCATGATCTGATACCAGTGACAAGGCAGTGAATGTTACTCGTTACTCTCCCTGTATCTGTCTCCACTAGGCCTGTCCTGTGTCTGGGCTGCAGGCAGGCTCTCAGCTCCAGCTCAGGCTTTACCTCCGTAAGAGTTATCATCCTTTCGTGTTTATCAGTACATGGGCTGGCAGAAATCCCTCAAGTTTTCCTTGGAGGTCACTTGGCTTAGAAAGATCTCAGTTGTCGAAGAATTTGTGTGCTGGTTAAATCTGAACTAGATAGCAATCTAAGGGCCTTCCAGTGCCAATATTCTAGAATTCCATAAAAGGCTACCCTTTAAGATGTGCTTAGGGAAGCCCCTCAGCAGATTCATTGGGCGCTATTTCCACACTTTGTACGACAGTCCTTTGAGCATATTCTCTCGATTCTGAGTTTGATCTGTGCTGCTGCTCCCAGGAGCCCCGTATGTAGGAGGGAACAGATCTTGGGTTTGTGTGCTTTTCCTTTTTAACTGGTCTGGCCTCAGTCACTCTCTAGCATTTGAGGTTATGGGCGTTTTGAGCATTTTGCCTCATAATGAACCTTGTTCTCTTGATATGCATTTTAGAAGACAAATCTGACCTGGAAAACAGTGTGATGCAGAAGAAAATAAAAATCCCCAAACTTTCTCTCAATCACGTAGAAGAAGATGGGGAGGTTAAAGATTATGGGGAAGAAGATTTACAGCTTAGACACATCAAGGTAAAAAAAACTTTCCTTTTTTTTTGAAATATACGGGAGTGTTTTCAGGTTTCTGATAGCTTAAGGATTCCAGTCTGGCCTCCTCTCTCCATATGACTGTCCCCTGGTGTCATAGGATGTGATTTTTCCCAATTGGGAGGCGCCTAGGACAGCTAGTTTGTGTTTACTGTGCTGGCTGACTTTCCAGGGAACCTGACTCGTGTTGTGCCACCACCATGCCCTGACCTGTGTGCACCGTCTGTGCAGTGTCATCACTGCAGAGGACTGGGAATGGCGCTTTTCCCTCTGGCCTGCAGCTCTGGGCAGGTCATTGCCAGGCTCTAGGAATGTAAGGTAGCTGTTCTTGGGTAGCAGGTCAGAGCCAGTCACTATCAAACTGCCCCCAACAGCTACGGGTGGACTCACAAGAAGATAGGGTGTGCCAGGTCACAGAGGGGTTCATGTGACCCTGAGTTGGAAGAAAACTTTTGCATGAGGTTGCATTTCCTTTGGTGTGTGCCCCAGTGGGTCTCCTCCAGCCCTCACTTGTAAGCCTGCTGAATATCTGTTCAATAAGCCAGATTTTTTTTTCTTTCTATACAGTGGGTATCCCAGAGGAAGGGAAGAGGAAGAAAGATGCCTTGACCGCAGTCTGATTTTGGACACAGGTCAAGGACATTCCCAAGGTCCAAAAGATGTAGTTGAGTTCAGTTCATGCCTTGATATTATACCCATGTATGAGCCTGGACCCTGTGCTGGTCCCTGGGGTCATAGAGATTAGAGAGACGTGGTCACTGCCCTTGGTGGTCTCACAGTGTAGTGATCAGACAGATGTCTAAAGTGCTCATTACAATTTTAGCAAATAAATTCATCTAGACTAGGAGCACTTCATCCCAGTGGATGAAATGACAGGTTAGAAGTTTGTCATGTTTGTCATGTAACTTAACCTCAGAGTTTTATTTTTTGTTTTTTGGTTTTTTCCCAAAAATTTGAGGAACTTATTGAGAGGCTAAGGCAGGCTTGACCTGACACAGGTTGTCTGGAATCTTGTGTCCTCAGTTGTCTGCACCTCCCACAAGTGCTGGCAATCAGGAGAGCTCCTAGCCCTCCTACCCTGGGTGAAGAATTCAGTTGGTCCTGTAACTCCCACTCCCCCTCAATGGAAGCTTTGTCCACTTGATCTGGAATTTCCTCAGGCAGCTGAAACCCCAACCCCTGGGTAGTCCTGGATAATTCTCTTCTCTATAAACTGTCCTCTCCACTTCCACATCTTGCTGGGCTTCAATTTGGCCAGAGTCCAGGGAGAGGCTCGCAGATGTGGGGGAAGGAGCCAGTGCTCTAAGCTGGGCTCTAAGTTTGGGGTCTGGCTCTGTCTGTAGCTCACAATGTGACCCTGAATATACACCTTCCCCTCTGTGAGCCTGTTTCCTCACCTGTAAAATGAGAGAGTTAAACAGAAAGAAACTTCCAGTGCTAGCATTCTTTGAACTTTTCCGTTAAGTAAACATTTATCAAGCCGCTGCCAAGTGCCAGTTCTGAGTAGGCAGTGGAGAAACAGAAAATAAGACATGGTTCCTGCCCTAGATTACAGTCCTTAGCATCTGTCCCAACTAAAGCATTCTTGAGGAAAAGTTGACTTGGTGGAATACCCTTTTGGGGGGGGAGATTGAGCGCTTTTATGTTTTTGTTGTTGAAGAGATGTGAGTGAAGACCCCTGGGATGGCTTTTGCTGGCCTGATTTCTTACTGATTCTCTACAAATACCCTGAACACCCCACCATGAGCAAGTCACTATGCGTGTGGAGTGGGAGGCTGGGGAGATGAGGGCGATCGTGGTATAATATGCACCTAAGAGGCAGAGTGATGGAATGGGAAAAATGCTGGCCAGGAAACCAGAGTTCTGGTTCTGCCACTCACTGACTGTGTGACTTTGGGCAGGACCCTTCCCCACTCTGGACCTCTCCCCCATTTGTAAAATAAAGGGCTTTGGCTAGGTGTTTGCGCAAGTTTCTCTAAGCACTGATGATCTGTGGTTCTGTGATTCTAGGATTGTCTGGGGAAATATTGAGCCGCAAGAAAGTCCCAGCTGCCCTTGCCTGAACTGATTCTCGTTGTCCTACACAGAGACCCGAGGGGCGGAAGCCGAGCGAAGTGGCGCACAAGAGCATCGAGGCAGTGGTGGCCCGGCTGGAGAAGCAGAACGGCCTGAGCCTGGGCCACAGCACGTGTCCAGAAGAGGTCTTCGTGGAGGCCTCGCCGGGCACAGAGGACATGGACAGTCTGGAGGATGCCGTCGTGCCCCGGGCTCTGTATGAGGAGCTGCTGCGCAACTACCAGCAGCAGCAGGAGGAGATGCGGCACCTCCAGCAGGAGCTGGAGCGGACTCGGAGGCAGCTGGTTCAGCAGGCCAAGAAGCTCAAGGAGTACGGGGCGCTCGTGTCCGAGATGAAGGAGCTCCGGGACCTCAACCGCAGGCTGCAGGACGTGCTGCTCCTGAGGCTTGGCAGTGGTGAGTGCTCCGCAGGCCGCCTGCGCTCCCCGCGGGCAGGGGGTGGGTTGTGCCGCTCCTCTTCCAGGAGGGCTCTGGGAGGCGGGGCCAAGAGGAGGGCAGGGACTTGGCTCGGCAGCTACCCAGGGAGGAGCCACTCCCCTCTCAGAGTGAATCTGAGCGGAGCTTGGGGAGGTAGCAGCTGTAGCAGTCCGAATATGGTGGGCAACACTGAGAAATGTGGCTCGGAGAACGAGAGCCGGAAAAGTATTTGCCATCCCTCATTTGTGCATTTTGCTTAGCCAGAGGCACCAGGGGTCACAGGAAACCTCTCCACAGAGATTTCAGGACAGTAAAGAGAGCCTGATGTGATCCTGAAAACACATACTACTTTAAGTCAGAAAGTGATACATGCCGCGAGAGAGATGTAGATAAACTAATAGGAGAGTTCAATGGATGGAGCGAGATTATTTGTAACTTAGGTAGACTTCAGGAAGAAGGGGGGCCTTGAACTGGGCCCCAAAGGGTGGGTGGTATTTCAGGGCCCGGGAGGAGGCCGAGGGCAGCAGTCGCTGAGCATGAGAGAACATCTGGAGCGTGCCAAGGAGGAAGACTGCAAATGTGGTTACAGGACAGGTGATTGAAGACCTTGAACATGATACCTGCCTAAGGTGTCTGGACTTGTTTTGCTAGAATGAGAAAACACTGAAAAGCTTTTGAGCAGACACATGACCTTAGGAAGATTAATATAAAAATGTATAAAACTCCTTTGGTTTGCTCAACTTAATAGGCTCTCATATTGTAACTGATTTTAACAAACTAGGTTTTTAGGTTTTCTCATCTAATGTAGTTTAGAGGCAGGAATCAGGGGAAATCTGAAATGCAACAGCCTTGCCAGCAGAGAAAAATGACTGCTTACCTAAGAGAAGAAGACAGAAGTGCTCTTTCAGAACACAAGAATCCAGAGTTGTAAAAGATAGAGGCCAGTCAGTCTGAGCGAATGGGTATAACACAAGTTGTAGTCTCTACATCCCCTGAGGACAGTCATTAATGACCCCGTGTCAGTGTTCTTTGCTTCCAAAAGGGAGTAGTCTGGTCTAGAAACACAAGTGCAATCCCCAAAGTTTAAATTAAATAGTTTTGTACTCAAGAAAGGAGGCTTGTGTTATCTAGATAATACATTTATGTGTAAAGCTTCATGCCTCTTTGATGTTTAGATAAGTGTGCTCTTACCCTGCCTTACTTATGTTTATTGGTGCCTTTTACAACCTGGAGTATGTGCCCAAGGCAGTGTCTCAGTAGATCTTCAGGGGGGCCTAGAGAGTCAGCCAAGAGGCCTTTTCATGCCCTTGTCACAGAGAAGGAAACTGAGGTTGGAATTTACCTGCAGTCACTTGAGGAGGCAGAGGCAGAGCTCACCTCAAACCACGTCCCTGATTCCTAGGCTGGTAATGTCCCTTCTCCCCATCTCTGCCTTGACCTTGGCCATTCTCCATAGAGGCGCACAGTGACACTAAAAGGTTAGTGGTATGCAATGTAAAAAGTTATTAAAATTCTTTAAATATGCTATAAAATCTCAAAGAGAAACCCTAACTGTAAAAATGTGTGAAAGCTATGTTGATCTTGAAGTGGGGAGAGTGGGGGGCAGGGAGAGAACTGTGATTTTCAGAGAGAAAAAGGCCATTTTCTGGCCTTCAAAGGAATACTTTTAATTTTCATTGCACTCTGCATGCCATGCCTTTTGTAAACTTCTTGTTGAGGGGGAGGGAGGCAAAGCATACGAACAGCGAAAACTCTCCACCTTGTTGTTTCAGTTCAATTCTCAGGGAAATTGCCTGTTTTGTATGACCATGGACTGAGTTTAAACTCCAGAAGCAACTCGTAACCCTCTGGGACAATAAGACACCCCACATTTTGTACCAGTACATGCCTCTTTAGTCCTAAAACACTTAGACAAACTTGGCCCCAGCCGTAGTTTCAGTGTCTTGATGGTTCTGGACTGTCCCACTCCGCAGGCCTTGAATGCCATCTTGAGAGCTGACGGCTGGCGCTTCTCTGATCTGGGTCCCTGTCATCATCACAGTGGGATGGACTGAATATAAATCAGTTCCAGCCACAAGTATGCACGGAACACCCACCATGTGCAGTGGCCTGTGCTCCAGGGACCGTGGGTGTCCAGGACAATCACACCTACTGCCCCCAACCTGTGAAAGTTTTAAGTCCATTGATTAGTACTTGTTAATCAGAGGATGAAATGTGCCATGTTTGAAGATAAACCCACAAGAATATACTAAAAGGGTCTCTACCCTAAGGGGAGTTTGTATGTTTTCATGGATATAGTCTAGTCTAGTCTTTGGAACCAGGCAGGCCTGAATTCAAACCCAGTTTCCCACTTCCCAACTCTGTGTCTTCAGAAACCTTCTTTCCTTGCTTACTTCCCTCCTTCCTTCCCTCCTTTCTTCCACAGATACTGACTCATATCCACTGTGTGCCAGGCATTTTGCTTAGTTGATAAAGTTCTGTGCATTCAAGATCTAGCCCTTGCCCTCTGCCCTTGAGGTGCTCAAAGTTTGATAAGGGAGACAGCCACCGACACAGTTAGTGCCAGCAGAGGGACAGAAGCTCTGCTGTGGGACAGCAGAGGAGGGGACCTGCTGAATTTGGTGGGATCAGGGAAGAAAGGCTTCCTGAAGGAAGTGACTTATAAGCTGGAGTCTGAAGGATGCATTTTTGTTGTGGAGTGAGGCAGGAGTGAGTAAGTTAGAAGAGTGAGGAGCAGGGTAGACAGAGGGCCCCTCTCTGAGCCTTGGTGTTCTCATCTGTAAAACGGAAATTATAACACCCTCCTCACAGCTCAGGGATACACAGCATAATGCCTGGCATTCTGCTGATGCTCGCTTACCATTAGCTGCTTTTCCATACCAGTTAGTGAAGGGGCTAAGACAGGGTCCGATTTGGTTTTTAACTCTGGCTCCCCTAACCAGTAATTGGCTGTATGACCTTGAGCAGATTAACTAACTTCTCTGCCTCTGAGGATCTTCTGTTATAGAAGATAAGAGGAGAGCACATATGTTCATTTGTCCATTCAGTCAGCTGACATTGACCATATGCTTTCTGAGCCTAGTAGGAACTTGGGCAGATATGAAGGAGACTAAGACGTTGGAAGTTGAGGGGGTGGGGATGGTGTGGAGGTAAACATGTAAGCATGTAATTGAAATGCAGTGTAACGCGTTCTGGGGGAGGGGCTAGTATTTGAAAGTAGAACTGTCTCTGGATGAGTCTGGGAAGACAGCCCCTGCTGTAATGGCTCCTGCACTGTGCACACCACCAAAAAACCTGTAACAAGGCAGAGAAGAGCTAGGAAGGGACTGAGAGACCCTCTTTGATTCTCGGCTTCACATGCCCTGTAGGAGCACATACGTCCCGGCCTGGAGCCAATGTGTGGCCTGGGCAGAACATCCCTGGCCCACTGGGCTTGGCCCAAACACTGCTCTTAGAGGCCTGCCCTTGTGTATTTTCTCCTGTCCACCTTGCCCACGGGCTTATCTCCAGGGCTTTGTTCAACTTGCATGCTGTGTCATCCATACCATCACAGGCAAATTCAGAGACAAGGTCAAGAATGCTCATATTTAAAAAGAAGGATCCCTGCCTGGAAGAATCATTGTTGACTCCCTCAGACATTGGGGTCCTGCAGGCCATGGATGGGAGAAGGCAGAGAGCAGGAGTCTGGCCTCTTGAGGCTGTTGATGGCCCTCCATAGCAGCCAGGAGTTATAAGGGTGCACCTGATGGAAGTTAGGGGCAGTGTGGTATAAGAAGATGTTTCAGAGACTTCGTTGGGTGGCTACTTCTTCATTTGTGTTTTCTTTCTTTCTTTCTTTTCTTTTCTTTTCTTTTCTTTTCTTTTCTTTTCTTTTCTTTTCTTTCTTCCTTTCTTCCTTCCTTTCCTTCCTTTCCTTCCTTCCTTCTCTTTCTTTCTTTCTTACTTTCTTTCTCTCTTTCTTACTTTCTTTCTTTCTCTTTCTTTCTTTCCTTCCTTCTTTCTCTTTCTTTCTTTCTTTCTTCCTTCCATTCTTTCTTCCTTCCTTCCTCCCTTTCTTTCTTTCTTTCTTTCTTTCATTCTTTCTACAAATAAACACAAGATAGATTTAACAGAAAAGATTCTCTAGAACATGGAGTCATGGAGTTGCGAACAAGCTTACAGATGAGATAGGCTGTTGGCTTTTGTTTCTAGGAAACAAGCTCACAAAGTGTCACAGCCCTGTTTCCAGGGGTCTTCCTTGCCCATATGCCCTTCTTTAGCCTTTGGACTTCATTTTTGCTGATATGAGGGTGACCCCCCCCCTTCCACAAAGGACATTTTCTCTCTGTAAAACAGAACTTTCCTTTTTCATGATCTTAGCATAGGAGGCAGCCCTCTCTGATAGGAAGGAAGCTCATTCTCTATCCCCGGGGACCCCTTCTCTCAGGGCCTCTGTGATGATATCAGAATTGAATCAGGAAGCATATGTAAAGAAGGTAGCCCTGTGACCAGCACAGTATAAGTGTTCAATAAATGTCATTTTCTTTCCCCTTTTCTCCCCTTTCCTGTTGACTTTCTCCTGAAGAAGTAAATGCTGAGGATACAAAAAGCATGAAGGTCTTCTAATTTATAAAGTGCAAATTTATTTGTATATATATTCATTCATTTATTCTTTCATTCATTCAACAGACATTTATTGAAAGTATGCTCTGTGCCAGGACCATGTTAGGTGCTGGAAATAGAAATGAACAACATGGTCCCTTTTTACAGCCAGGCTTTTGTTGTTGTTGTCATTGCTGGGTTGTTTTTTGTTTTGTTTTGTTTTGTTTTTTGTTTTTTTTTGGTGTGGGAGGCAATTAAGTTGACTTATGTATTTATTTTTTTAATGGCTCTACTGGGGATTGAACCCAGGACTTCATGCCTGCTAGGCATACACTCTTACCGCTGAGCTCTACCCTCCCCCAGGAGAGTCCCTTTTTAAAACATTCACAAGCTAGGGA